TTCTTCTAAGATGCTCCATATTGTAAGTAACCCCTGAGCAGTCCTTGCAAAGCATTTGGGGAGATTTTTAGTCTGAAAGACACTTTACAAAAATAAATTGTAATTGAGTTTAATAATCTTCCCCTTTTCAGAAAGGGCCTGACAGATGCTGCCTAGTGCTCACTTCTGCCCCATTTCAAATATTTTTACCTTATTTGGATGAAATATATTATTTTTCTAATGAAAGGAGGTTGTGTTTTTTTTTTTTTTCCAAAGAGCTGGTTCTCCCTTCGTCCAGCTGGTGCCTTTATTAGGTTAGTGCTTGCTCCCTTTTGGGGATGGGATTGTTTTTTTCCCTGAGCTGGGAGAGACCATGCCAGCCCCTCAGTCTACAAGTGCGCAGTTCAGAGCTTTTACTGCACAGCAAGTGGAGAAGTTGGGCCCTGCCCTCCCTCTTCACTCTTCCCTGATACCCCGAAATTCACCTTAGGTATATTTTGATTATTTTATTTCATTTTTTTGAGAGCATACATAGTGGTAAGAGCCAGCCTTTCATCAGCATAATAAGGGACACGGCTCTAAAGGTGCCCACGGAGGCTGACTCCTGAGGAAGCAGCATAGTCTAGGGATAAGACGGATAAAAGGGAAAATGAAGAAAGCTGGAAGATCTCTCCTGTACCCTGAGGTAAATCACTTCCTGTGTTTCACCTCCCAGCATACTTTTATTTATGTTTTCAATCCCTGGAGATCAAGCCCCTCTCTTGCTTTGCACTCGCATACCACCCAATGGTATGAGAGGTCAAGTCCAGGCTGGAAGACTCTCAGCTCAAGCCTAACATCAGGTTTTGGTGTGCAGGGTCACCACCACATACAATTTGTGCTTAACATAAAGCACTACCACACACAAGTCACCTTCCAAAGCTTCCTGTTGTCAAAGCCCTTGGGAAACATGTGTTTCCAGGGGTCTAGTCAAGCATGGAGACCTTGACTTTAACACAACAGGTTTGCAACAAAAAGCTACTCTGGACCTGCTGTCTAGCCTTGTTTTCCCCAAGCACCACACTGGCCCACCAAAGGGAAGGCAAAGACAGCCTCCACTTCTGTAGCAGGCACTGTAAATGAGAGCAATGGAGTAGACACAGACTGGGTTTTCCACAGCCCCCTCCCTGCTGCAGGCAGCAGCCCAGCACGCTTCCTTCCACCAGTACGCATCAGGATAGACCTTCTGGCAACCCTTCTAGCAGACCCCAGACCAGGGCAAGCTAGCCACTGGAAATGCAGCCAGCTCCCCCGCTCTATTGAAGACAAAATCAAGAGAGAATATAGTTATTAAAAAAACACTTACTTGCCAGAAGAGCCCAAGTTGCAATAAGGAAAGCCTGCCTCTAAAATGTCTGCCTGCAAGCCAGGGCAAGCTGGCTGGCTGACCAACACCGGCTGCTCCAGCAGGGCAGGGCAGCTCCTCTCACACAGCTGTGCAGCCTGGGCAATTAGGGGACAGTGGCTACAGCTGGGCGCTGTGCTGCAGCCTGGCACTGTGCTTACCCCGAAGCACAGCCAGCAACGGGGGTGGGGGTCTCGCTCCAGAGCACAGCAGTTCATGGGGGCTGGAGGTTTTGTGCGAGATGCAGCACATAGCATGAAACCTAGTTCCCAAAGTTGGCTTTCTCTGTGATTTGTCATCGTCACATCTCTGTATTTACCAGCCACTGTTTTTCACCATCACACGTGGAAACTGAGGCACACTCATAAGTAAAATACTCTGCAAAGCATCATGCAGCAAAGCAACAAGATCAAAAGGGATCCCACAGTCCATCCTCTTTCTTCTGATCCCAAACACTGTTAGGTTACACCCCCAGCATGCAAAAGCCAATAAAAAAAATCTTCCCGCTTCTGAGGAAGATGCACATAGGACTTATTTGTCACAGCTCAGGGTGAGGAAGGTTGGACAAAGATGATCAGGAGACATCTCTCTTAACCCTTTCCCACCTTGTCACATTTTTTAAGTTCCCCACATTTCTCATGCAGCTATTGAAAAGGGAGCTTTTATATCCTCAAATTATTGGAAAGCAGCAGCCTCACATTGTTTCCTCTAGGACAGCGAGCACAGGCTCACAGGGTTTCCCTGAAATGTGCTCGAATGACATCGTTCAGAGGAAGCTCCCTTCACCTGCTTTCTATACACCTGCTTTCTTTATGCTATAAAGGACCTATAGAAACCATGTTACAAACCCGCTGCGCTCACCCACCAGGGTGGTGTTAGTCTTCTTCCTGTGTCAAAACAAAGGCTGATTACACAGTAAAATAGAGTCCTTGAATACGCCAGATGGTGGGTAACTGTTGCTGCTGTCTTTCTTGTTCTGCAGAAAAAAGGTTCGCTACCTGGCCGTCTTTCAGCTAATACGATGCCATTCTCAGTGCCTACTGGCCAGTGGGCTAAACATTTCACAGGGCAGATGATCTAAGAAGTTTGTTTCTAGCAAAAAAAAAAGGAAAAAAAAGAAAAAAATTACAAGTTAGCAGTCAGGCTACACGGTTCATAAGGACCAAAATACTCGCCCTGTAACTTGCTATGCTGGAAAGACAAGGAACACGAGACAGAAATAAAACTCGTGATTCACGACAATACCTGCTGGTAAGAAGGTCTGGCTTCTTCCAAATTCTCTGCTGGTAGGTTGGATCTCTTCAATAAAGTACACAAACACCCCATCAGCCGCCAGAGACCCAGAGTTAGATTTTTTGAGCAACAATGGCTATGATGGAGTCTTCTGGGTTTCATCAGGTTGGGGAAAGGAAAAACTGTGACCTATTGAATTGGTGAAGGATGTAAGAAGCAAAAGCTAAGGGAGGGAAAAGGGCAGTTGAAGAAAACTGCCTTTTACTCTGCACCAGAAATCTTGAGGTAAATGAATTGAAGACTGGCAACATGGAGGAAAAGGGGGGAAAAATGAACCCGCAGGGATGCTTGTACTGTAAACCTCGTAAGTCACTCTGCAAGGCACATACCTCAGCAACATATTTTCCACATTTCACCAACTGCTGTTGTCCAGGCACTTTCTATTTTCAAAACCTTCTATGTATATAAAATGTACACAGGCAGGACAATACTTTTTCATCACATCCCTGCGTTCAGTCGTGTTTTCCTTTCACAAGCATTCTTGGCTTGGAGAAATGAAAAGTGCCATCTCTTAAGAAAAGCCTTTCCTTTTAAACACTTTCAAATTTGCCCTGTTTTAGCTAAACGTGACGTTCTTTGCGAACGTTAAACAGTGGAGAGAGAGACTGAGAGGGAGAGGGAGAGAGAGGGACACACACACACTCACTCACTCCTGGGGAAGATATTCGTCCATTTAAGGAATGAGAAATCATCACATTCAGCAGCAGGTCTAAATACAGTAATACGAAGGTCCCTTTCGCTCCCCCTGAGCAGGAAAATGTCACTGTGTACCAGACACCCAAATACTCAGGAATCAAGTAAATCCCTCATTTTTAAGAAGGGAGCCAAATACTTTTGTTGAACAAAGATGGGACTGCAGTAGCTACAAATTACTTGCTGTACGCCATTTCTTTCAATGGCTTCTGCACCGACATGGCAGGGTTAGACCAGTCATGGGATATAGCACAGCATTCCCTGCTGGTAGATAAGACGCGCCGTGGGATACCTCACACGCTCCCTTCAGCACCTCCTGCTGCCGGGGGTGGAAAGGAGTGGATGCTGCATTCCGCACCCTGCAGAGCCTCCTGCTGGGAGGAAAGGCACCAGAATGGCTGTGTTTTACTCACCAGATGATACATCCATCTCACCCTCTGCAACATCGGAGGCAACCTAGCATTACAGTGTTGGAGCTATTTATATTGCACCTTATATTGCACTTATACAATTCTCTACACTGCCTCCTGCTAATACAACCTAGTATTGGAGCAGTCAGAAAATCAATCATAAATGTCCTTCAGAAAACATTTTATAAGGACTGAATTTCTGTAATAGTCCCTTTTCCCTCCCTTTACCACCCTGCATGCATATTTCTTCCCAAAATAACAGCCACAGTAATCCAGTAACAGCCTGGTGTTAAATAGTGGTAACTCATATTTATTACAATTATATACAATCGTATTTTATATTTGAAATCTATACATGACCACACAGATGAGCACATTTGCTTGGTGAGGACAGTGAGACTCAGTTGTTACAAGAATTGCTCTGCTAAGAGGCTCTGATGCACTGAATAATATAATTGGACACCACCATTTTACCAGCTGAGAACACAATGCTGCAAATGAGAGGTTTCAAAATTCACTGTTGTGATTTGTGTATAGCCCCAATGGGGCAAAGAAAAGGCTGGACTGGGCAAGAAGGGCCAGTGGTGTACCTCAGAGCTGGAACTGTTCTCTCTTCTGTATAGACTGCTTTGCTGAAGCAGGTGCCTGTCACTGGGTAGGTGTAGGTCTCGGCTGATCATTTAAGTTGGGTTTTCTCCTCATTTCAGGAGAAAAACAGGCTAAGAACCATTGCAAAGATTCAGAATTAGCCAACTATTTCAGCGTCTGATATCACCTCATTCATTCATTCATTCAGGGCAGCTATAAATAAAATGTAAGATGTCAAAAACTGATGTGAGCTCATTGTCTTTGGAGGAGGAAGGGTAATAATTGGGATAAGCGGGGTCAACTTTTATAAAGCCTTCTTTTACTGGGGAGCAATCAGTAACACAGCCACCTGTTCTCATGGATTTTACTGTGGCCATGGACTTGGTCCCTAGCAAGAGGCCACTTTGATGAGTATATGCAGGTGGGGCAGAAATAGTGTTCTTTGGACCCCACAGAAATTTAGTGTTTTTAGATGCTAGGTAGTTTCAGGAATTTGAGGCTTGACATAAGCCTTGGACGGCCAAGACTAAGATCTGGTGAGGAATTCAGGGTTAAAACATTCTTTTTTTGGCAACAGAATATCAAGTAGTTTGAGAAATAAAACAGAGGGTATTTTGGGAGATGGAGAACTGGTTTGGGCCTTATGTGGCAATTAAAGGCTTGTGAAATCAAATTGCTCAGGACAGACTTGGTTTCTGAAATTGGATAGAAGGACCCTAGGATGCAGCGAAGAGGCTGACTGTTTCAGGAGAGATGGTGCTTTTATAAGAGGACTTATTCTGTAGCTGTGGTGCATGATAAGGCGATTGGTCTTCCAGCCTAGGCAGTGACCCCAGCTCATGGGGAGAATGTGGGTCTGGGAGGGGAGAAGAAGCCACTGCAAAGCCCTGTGGTGAAACAGGGCCCACCTTGTTCACTGGGTAGTCATGACCCTGCTCAAGGTCAATCATGGGAGAATCACTGGAGGGGATGGTGGCACTTCTCTCCACAAAATGGGAGAGGCACCGGGGACAGTGCAGGAGGCTAGGGAAGATGTACAGCAGCAGCAGCAGAAGCCAGGGTGCCTTAGTCAATCTCATTCTCATTGCTGGCCCCCTCAGGTCTTCGTAGCTTTTCCACTTGCTCATTAATCTGACCATCCCCTCCTCGCCGGTCCTCAGTCTGGACACCCAGACATTCCTCCTCATCCACATGGCTAACATCATCATCCTCATCGTCCTCTTCCTCCTCTTCATTCCTTTTGGTTTCCCTTTTCTCCTCCTCACCCTGCACCTCCATCCGCACTTGGCTCTTGACGTCAATCACTGCCTTGTTGCCCTCCTCCGTGCTCAGCAGATGGCAGCTGACCTTCGAACCCTCAGGGCTGTGGTTCTCCTTGACTGGCGATGAGGTGGTAGACTCATTGCTGACGGGTGAGATGTCACTGCTGCTATTATGGTTGGCAACAACAGGGTTGGAGGGTGAGCTTGGCTTCACTGGGATCTGCCATGACGGGATCTTTGGAGCCGAAGGGGAGGGAGGAAATTGCCTCCTTGGGGGAGGGGAAGAAGGAAAGAAAAGGAGAGAACGGTGCTTTTATTAAAAACACTGAGGGGTTATCATTAGAGAGAATGGTATTTGCACTGGAGAAGTCATGTAAAGCAGGAGTGAAACTGCAAGTCTCCTTTGCCATAAATGAACAAAACCAAAGCCACTTCACTTCTTCAGCCAGAATCTCAAAGTGCTTGACAAGCACCCAGTAATCAAGTCTGCACACAAGGAAAATATCACAGCTGGGCAATCTGAAGTACTAAAATGATCTGGTTTGGCCAATTTCAGAGCAAGCTAGCACTCAGGAATGCTGCCTGTGGAAAGACATGCGTGTCCCTTTATAAAACAATCACTAATTAATTAGTAAAGAAAATTCCCACTGGAGCAAGAAGTCAGACACACCAGGTCCTTGTGCCTGAGCCAAGGAATTTCACCACCTGGCTCTCGCCTGCACTGTGATACACAGCTATTGCATTCTGGCTCTTCACAATCCAGAGCCTATCTCCTAGTCCCAGCACGCGCTTTACATGTTTGGGCCAGGTCCTGGGTGCCGCAAACTGGTTCAGCTTCTCTGACTTGAATGGTGTCATACTAGCTTGCACCAGCTGAGAAAGCTGGCTGCTCTGTCCTTGAGTCCTTTCTAGGTGGGCTTTAAGGATTTGATTAACGGCAGGATAATGTCCAGCGCGAAGAGGAGAATCCAAGTACCAAACAGGACAAACATAAGCGCAGTGGGTAGCACTAGTCATCCATCATGAAGAGCAAAGCAAAAAAGCATGTCTGATCTAGCAGTCCCCTTGCTTGTGTATGTGAAAAGTGGTATTATGAAGAGGTATCGGATCACGTTCTGAAAAGGATGCTGTGCGGCAGGGAGTCCTCATGCCCCTCAGGTGAGCTGGCTAATGCCACAGACAGGACCACTCCTACAGTTAGTGCTCAAACACAGCAGATTACATTTTCTTAGACTGACCTAGGAACAGTAGTTGCTCTCACCTCCCTCTTCCTGCTGCCACCAGCAGCCATTGAAGAACTCTGCTGATCTAACCTCCATCTCCTGTGAGTGCAATAAGCTAATGTCTGCATTATTCAACCAGTATCATAAATGCAATCAACAAATTTGATCTGGAGACTTTCTTGGCTCCAGTGTTGCTGCTGCCTCCTCACTGCAGAAACATTTGCCTTTTTGTTAAAAAACACCCCCCCTCAAAAGTTTTGTTTTTTCCAAAAAGCACTTATCCCCCAGCTGCAACTTTCCTGTTGCTGAAGAGGTGTCATTAAGTAACACTGTCTCCACGACAGTGATGCTAGTGCATCCCAACTTAATAGACGCTAACTTGGTATGTGTCTTCAATACTCCATAGCTTTCTACTGTGACTCCTGGGAGGTGTAGCGAGAATTTAAAAGGATATTAAAGACAATATACTTTTCAGACTTCTGAAAAGCCCACTTGCTGAGATTCAGAACATGTCTAGTTCAGTCTTAGACTGATCTTTGAAGTCCATCTCTTAGGAAACAGATGAATTGAGAAGACTACGTTACATGTAGAAGGAGGCAAGGGATTCATATCAGAGTGAAAGGATCAATAGCTGAAAAGCTAGATAAACTCTCAAGTAATGTACTTGGAAAAAAAGGATCTCCTCAAGAACTGAGATCTGATCCCTGTTCTTATGACTGTCCCACAGCCTGGGATTTATATCACCCCATTTTAGACATCTACTATGTTATGTCTATACCTGAGCTAGCTAATAGAGAGAAACAGGCTCTGCTGAAGTGTGATTCTTTTCATCCCGGTTGTGCCCTAACCATGAACAGGTCAGCTGAACTGTATCCAGAAGTGACTTTCTCTGTAACAGAATGCAGGTGCAGATGCAGTCAATATCTCAATCTAGGTGAGAGGCATCCTGACTGTGGTGAATGGCAGAGAATTCCTCTATCATAAACAAAAAATCTTATTAATTACCCGAAGCACTCTGATTTAAGGCAAGTTTGAAAAGCATTTTGAGACGTGCAAATAGAAAGTGATAGTGGAGTGCAAAGTGGTATTATTAAAATAGCAATAACAGGATATAAAGCTAGTTCCTGTTGGAAATGCCTTTCCTCTCCACAATTGAGAGAATCCCAGAAAGCAACCCTTTCCCCACACAATAATCTGCTCACATATTCCATCCTTACCGGTTCAGGAGAAGTCCTTTTAACGAGTAGATCTCAGATTTCAATTCATTAATATTCTGCGACTCCAGAATCCAGTTGGTGGAAGTTGTGGCCTAAAACAGGACAAAGGAGATATAAAGATCAAAGTATGAACTGGGAGACAGTTCATAAATGTCACTTTTTTCTCTGTTATCCTCCCTCTCCTCTGAGAATCTTGATCCCTGGGGATAACATACATAAGCTTTATCATTTAAAATCTCTCAAATCTGAGCAAAACAACTTCCACAATAAAGAAGGACCTGAATGGATCCCGTGATGATCAGAAATAATAATTGTCTCAAGGTGCTAAGACCATTCAAATATGAAACTAGAACTGGGATCCTGAAAGGCAGTGGGAGTTGCACTGGATCAGGTCGTTTGCTCTTTCCTGTGATTGCACTTAGATGAGGCAACAGATTCAAATATTATATATTAACAACTATTTTAAAACCATTTGTTCATTTTTCCTAAATCATGAAATAAAGAATCCATTATTTGCACTCTGTGGTGTTTAGAGGTGGGCTGGTAAATCGATGCTTAAAAGTTGCAAAAATTTTCCCTTCTAGATCTGAAGAATTAGAGCTATGCTTGAGTTACCAGACTGTTTCTCCAGGAAGCAGCTGGACTAGGCACTGGCCTGGATATTTCAAGGCAATGAATGCACTTTGGTGGGGAAAGATGGTAAGTAACTCATGGAAACCTAGTACAGCTGCTGTCAGCACTGCCATCGGAATTGCTATGGGGTATCAGGCAGAAATTAGAGTAAGGTAACAACTGAGGAGAACGTGCTGCAGATAATACTTTTGGCAATCCTTCTTTTAACCCTTTTGGGAACTTGAGAAATGGAAAGAACATTCTGAAAGACAGATCATGACCTATTGCTACCCTGTCCTATCACTCTAGCAACTCCTGTAGCAATGGGCTGAGTATTGAACCAAAGAACACTCATGTCTAGCACTTCCCATAGTAAATTCTGCTGAAAGGCATTAGGAACGAACCCATTTGTGAGCATTGCTCCAGAGATGCTCTTAATAAATCTCCTAACAAAGGAAGCCAGGAATAACACAAAATTTCTCCTCAGCAGTTCTTACTACATGTAGCTAGAACTGGTTGTTCCAACTTAGTCTTTAAACAGACTTCAGCTAGTGCTGAGTAACCCTGAACACCTTCACAGCCAGCACTCCTCACAGTGACTTCTGGGCTGTGAACCCAGTGAGCTGGGAGAGGCTCAGTCTGTAGTAGCTGTGATATACACAGATGCGTTCCCCTGGGATTCACACTCCCAGCCCTCAGACAGCAAGAATCCAGGAGCCACTGTTCTGGCTTTCCAAGACCTTGAAAGCTACAGCAGCACATTAACAAGGGAGTGATTTCCACTCACTGGCCTGCAAAGGACTCAAATTTCCAAAACACATATGGTGCCAGATGCCTAGGATTTAGAAATAAAATCTGACATCTGGGGCTTTTTAGCCAGTCTCTTTAAAAAACAGTTGTAGAAAATTCAAGCCCTGAATTTTTATGTACGTTTTTTAATTACTTAAAGTCCCTCTTTTTAATTTTTTACAGCATGCCAGTAGGAGTTTGAAAAGCAGATATAAAAACTTACATTACAGCTGAGAAAACACAGCTTTTATTCTTTGGTTTGTGGGGTTGCCCAAGTTTTTCTTTGTACACATGAGGTTTAGATATCATAACAATGTGTGCTACCATTTCAGTGCAGGGGGTAGAGAGGGGGGAGGAAAAACTTCTTCAAGACTCTAAACCACCAAGACTGTTATGCCCTTTTTCCTTCTTAAAGCTCAACATGTGGTCTTAATCTTAACACTTAAGACCTGAAAACAGTTTTCCAATTTCCGGACTGGCTCCAGGCCACTGACAGGCCACAGTTCCCAAGGAAAATTGAAGTAGAGTGTTGTGACCATAAATTGGCTTTCATGGTTGGGTTTACAGCTGTGCCACTGAGGGATTCCTACTGTACAGTGTGCACACCACATAGTCAGCTGTGGCCCACCAGTTACACACCATCAAAGGGTTTGTACGAGATTAAAGTATAGGTAAGGGGAGAAGACCACTGTTCATGCTAGAGGTAAAAGACTGTAAGCATTGTCTAAGGGATTTCATAGCAAAAAGAAAAATCTCTCCCTGTACACAGAATACTGCAAGGTAACTGGGCCCTGAATAATCACAAGTTTGTGAGTGAAAGAAAGGCTTCATCGCTATGTGACTGGTTCAGATCCATCCCCCCCCACCAACACTTGCTGGCTGACAGAATGCTCAGACCAATGGCTGCAAAGTACTTTGGACATGAAAAGCACTAATTCTCATTGCCAGAAAGAAAATCAATTTTGGTTAAAAGTGGTTACTTGTAGTTACACGTGTAACAACACAAACTAGTCAGAACTGATGGTTTTATTGCCAGAGTCAAGTCAGGAGTCAAGGGGAATGGGCCACTGTGCGTCACTAACGTGGTTGTGATGGGGACACTTGTTACACTGAGATGACCAACATAATTGAAACAAGAAACCAAATAGTAAGAATGTTTGGCCACTATCTGGCCTGGATCTGAACAAGTGACTTAAATACAGTACTTTGAGGGTGTGCTTGGCTGAACAGGATTAAGTCATTGTTTTGACAATGTACAAGGGTACAGGAGAAATATAAACATGTAAATTACATATTACACACAAATAAAACCTCTGCACATCTGGCCTTTACCTCTTTTGGTCAGTGGACTAACAGCACAATTATTTAATCTCAAATGCAATGCAGAAGATAGAGAGCTGAGAACAGGTCTGAGGCCTCAGACACACGGGCTACACACAAAGCTACAGAGCAAAGCCCTCTCAGAAGTTAGATATAGTTCATTGAGTACCCAATGCTTTAAACAGACTGCCTACAGAGACGTCAGATGCAGAGAAACTGGCTGGGGATATGACAGAGCTGAAGTCTGGATTGTGAACCTAATAAGGTGCTCTCCCCGTCCCCACAAAAGAGGCTGTGCATGTTCCAAAGAAGGTGGTGGTGTTCTAAAGGTGAAGAGTTCGAAGTGGATACCTTAGAAGCAGCCAGTTCTTGGGTGAGCTCCTGGATTTTCTGTTGTTGCTGGATTAGCAGTTCCTGGACAGCGGCTAAAGTTGTCTGTAACTGAGTCACTGTGAGGGAAAAAGCAGGAGAGTGTTAAACTGAAATATATGCACATGTACACACTCACACACGTCCTTCCTGCTGTCTAGCTACAAAGATGCCTCTATTCCTACTATATTTAATTTATCTACGCCCGCCTGCTCACTTTAATCCATATGATTTATCTGCACTACGGGTAATCTACCTGCACTGCATCTAACCTCCAGTATTTCTAGTTTATCTTTCCATTGTATAGATGTCTATAGCCCACAGTATATCCGTCCAAAACCTCTCCCTTCTAATTATATTGGTTTATGATTTGTACATCTCCCTGAACTTATACAATGTTTGTATCATTTATCTACCTTGGGCCTCACGCAAACACTGGAGCTAGCTCCAATCTGGGAAGAGGCTGGTCTCAGGACTGACCTTAGGGCATCATGAGAAATGAAAGATGCTTTTCTTCTCATCCTCCACTAAAAAGTGTAATTAGCATCCTCCCACTCTCAACCCAACAGCTCCTTCAACCCCAACATTTTTAACGAACTTACTGCTGAAAATGATACTTTTTTTCCATCCCACCAACTGAATACTTTTTGCGCTTTCCCCCTTTTATTTCCAGGGAGCACCCTGTATTCCCCTCCTATACCCCAGCAAACACTGAAGAACTTCTGCTGGACTCAACTCCAGCTGTAGGAGAACTTTTTCTACTTCGGTACTTTATACAAAGCTTCTAGGCCGTAAACAAGCTGATAAAATAAAATAAAATTAAAAACTCTATTGGTGTGACAGGTAACAGCTAATCCAGACCATCATTAGGGCATTGGGTAATGAATAGACACCCTATAGAGTCAATAACAGAGAAGGTGGCTAAGGTCAGGGAGGCGCAGTAATTACAGACTCTCCTGACCCTTCCTCGGATTTTCAGATGGAAGGTGGGGGGAAAGCACCAAAAAAAAGCCCCTGAAAACATCAGAGAAGCAGAAATTAAAAATGAACTTTACAGCCCTCCGAAAGGCTGTCATTTTATTCCCCTTATTAATATTCTGAGGTTGGGAGCCTTTCCGTAAAAACATAATTAATTGAGGCCGCGCCGACAGTAAACAAGCAATTTCAAATTAAACCGAAATGACGGCGGCTTCATTTGCAAATGTGAACAGATTCTCAGAGCAGATAAATGAAGTCACCACATAAAGTGGAGATGGAGGGAAAGAAAAGGGTGGGGGTCTTGGCAGAATGGAGGATACAGGGAGAAAGGCTTTGAGGGGTAAATTGATGGAGTCATTAATCTTTACCTGTCTGTGTCACACTGCCACTCATCTCAGAAATGTTTGACTCAATCCTCTGAAGTTGTTTCCTGTCTTCTTTGCCTCCCATGATGAGAGGAAGCAGGTATTTCTGCATGGAGTACAGAAACTTTTTAAGGAAATAGGGATATGCAAAGTGGTCTTTCTAATCTATCCAAAACATCCTCAAAGCCCACCACCCAACCTCAGCCTTTATCACAGAGCCAGTGATCATTTATCCACACATCTGGCTGAGAAAAGAAATTCCCTCTACAGTAGGTGTTAAAACAAGTTGCAGAAGAGAAGATATGAGGTCTCTGGTTACATTTTTGGGGGTGCTGAAAACCAGTTCCTAACTCCATTTAAGGTTTCCTCTCAGTCCAGAGAAACATCCATCGCATACAGTACAGTTTCAGACCTTACGCTCTCAAATGTGAACACACTGATGTGTTGCAACATCTGAGCTACATCCACAAGGCAAGAATCGCGGAAGTGGGAAGAAGAGGGGAAAGGCCCAGGAAAGGCCAGAGGAAGCACAAGCCAGGCAATGAGAGGTATTATAAAATCTTTTAAACCTTGGCTGGGGAAGGGTTACGAGTCATGGAGGGAAAAGCAGAGATATGGAGCACAGGGAAGAGAAAGGAAATGGAGCCGAGTTAACAACAGTAGGAGAGAACGAAAGAACCAGGGCTAAAGGAAGTGAGAACCAAGCTAGTATAGGATAAGAAGCAGTTCAGTGACACTGCACAGAGCCATGAAAGCTACCTCATTCTGCCCTTGCAGAGGATGGACTGGATCTAATAGGTCACAACTCTCCTCTAACTACCATGGATCCTTCTGCAGCTCTGCTCCTATGAACTGAATATGCGCTTTAACAAGGCCACATCCAAGCACAACATGGCAGGTGAAAAAAATGTGAGAGAATGATAGTCTAGGATGTAGAAATAGCCCCGATAGTGCCTATCAATTCTTTTTCATCCTGGCTTTTGATCCATGTACACCCACTGCAGAGGCATACATACAGGATGGTTTCTGAGACACAGCTGATTATCCAAACTGACACGTGTGGGACAGCTTTCTTTTACACTTAATAGCACTGGTTTAAGATTTCAGTGTCGCTGTACACAGCTCTTACACTCACACAGCACAGGTACACATACATGTTTACACTCAGACATTCTGAAAAGCAAATGGCTTTTGATGACTTTCATAAACAGTTCCCTGTTAATCTTCACAGAACACACACGGACAACTATGGTGTATCCTAGCATCCTATCTTTCATATAAAAATCACTATTTGCAAACTCCTTCAAAATCCCATGAAGTGCAGAGGGAACTTAACAACTGTTTCCAAAGATGTCTTACTCCTATAAAAGAAATGGATCTCTGCTAGGCACACAATATGCCTTATGAGGTTTGGGCAGACAGCAGAGCAAGATCTGTAAACAAAGAATACAGCAGTAGGATACATTACAGCATCAGTGACATTATGCCAAAAAATTTATGTAAATCATCAATACGTGTTAGACATGTGTCACTTAGTAACAGCAATATGTGCAGGTCTACAAGGCCCAGCAGCTGTTGTCTTAACGTCTCTCTGGACACTTATCAGCTCCACCATTCTTTGCAAGAATGAAAAGATCAGTAAGGTTGGCATCACTACTTTAATATAAAAACAGAGGGACAACATATCTCAATAAAAAGCCATTCTCTTAAGTCATGTAACTTTATTTGCAGAGATGGAACATGTCGCTTAATCTGGCCTCTCTCTTAGCCTGAGACCCAAAAAATTAATGATAGGACAAGATAAGAAAACTAGTTTTAAACTAGAAGGCTTTTTTAAAAATAGATTTTACTAAACAAGATGGTAATTGTTAATTAAAGAACAAACAAACATGAAAACCATTAACCTCTAGTTAATTGTTCATCTCTGTCCCTTTTTCAAAAATAAACCACAACTTCTACTGGACCAAAAGCTCTTTACACTCTGCTGTGTTGACCTGAACCACTTATGTCTTTCTATGTAGCCACAGAATACGATTGTTTAGCAAAGATATTACCTAATGTCACTTACCACATTGCTAGAAAGCAAATCTATAGAGTGAAAGAATACGTTCAACTGGAGGAACGTTGCACAAGAAATAAGAAGGGGCTGCTGTCTCTACAATACATTAGCAGACACACTCTTGGTCTACCTTGTTCTAAGCACATTGGAGTAGAACTACAAGAGACCTGGAAAGTAGCACCTTCTTTTCAATGTTCTGATCAGTTAAAAAAGATTCTTTCATACCCAAGATGCAGGACCACCAGTGGACAAATCCTTAGACTGGGGCTACGACAGTAATGTCTGCTAGCCAATGCTGGGAGAATCCCTTTACTGAACTGTGCTCAGATTCCTCAACTTAAAAAATTCCAAAATACATTTACATGATGAAAATGACCTGTTTCTAGCAGTTTGAGATCCACTGCTAAAAACTAGTTTTGTTTGCTTGCCACTTTTTGACGCTGCATTTTCATGTTACGGGTCTACATTTCTCAAATATGAGAGCTGGGGGGGACTTTTTACTAGGGCACGTAGTGAGAGGACGAGGGGGAATGGCTATAAACTGGAAGAGGGCAGGTTTAGATTAAACATTAGGAAGAAGTTTTTCACTTTGAGGGTGGTGAGGCACTGGAACAAGTTGCCCAGAGAAGTTGTTGAGGCCCCATCTCTGGAGGTGTTTAAGGCCAGGCTGGACATGGCCTTGGGCAACCTGGGCTGGTGGGAGGTGTCCCTGCCCATGGCAGAGGGGTTGGAAGTCGATGATCTTCAAGGTCCCTTCCAACCTAAACCATTCTATGATTCTATGAAATAGACCAATGGCAGTGCCAGCAAGAACAGAGATGCTTCACCAGCTTGGAACCAATATGATCATCTGGACACAAGCACCCTAACGTCATTCTCTCAGAGTACAGTGTGAGAGTGGAGAGGGAGAAATTACCTTGTAGAGCTGGTGGAATCCAAAGGCAATTCCTGCCATTATGATAGCCAAAGCCCCATAATCTCGCCATCTGGAGCCTGGTGGACCTAAAGGCCAAAATCAACAAATAATCATAGTTAGAACTGCAGGTGACAACACTTTCATCCATCCATTTTACCAGAGAAAAGAGCAATTAATAATTCCAATTCTGCTGTTTCTTAGCTGGCACAGAATTACTGAGCAGAGGAAATTAAGATGCTGGTAGTCCCTCAGGTACAGTGTGCAGGCTTCTGGCCCTAGGACATTGAAATATCTGTCCAGACCTCTAGCATTGACACTGGCCTTGCACAAAGTGTAAAAGGGAGACAAATCATAGCAACAATTTAAAAAGTTCCATCAAGCTGGTTTGCCCTACTCTTTTCTTGCAGAAGGCATTCTGAACCCTACTGCACTTCCTTCAGATAACCGTCTGCGGTGTTACTACTAGCTAAGGTTAAGTCATTACTTGAATACCAATTGTTCTCCACTCTCATAATTCTTTGAAAATGGGGACAGAGCCAGAGACCCAGAAGAGTGCAGAAAAGAAGAAAGAAGGAAGTGTTTTGAGAAAGAATAGAAATCTATTAGGGCAATAAACGGGTTTATGAACACTGTGTCAGCAATTACAGACCATTTCAATAAGGAAGGATCCAGTATCTTTCAAGCCTGAATTATGAATAAGGAACAAAGCACACATAAACAGCAGAAAGAAAATACACAATTAAATATCTAGAAAGAGGTAAAGAAGTAGATAAAAGCTTGAGATATTTAACACACAATTCTACACAGAAGCTTAGAGACTCCACAGAACAAAGCAGAGATATGGTATGCTCTCCTCCCTCAAGCAGAATCAGAAGATACCTGTAGTTTTCCACCAGCTTTATCCTTTCACCTCCCTCGCAGTTCCCTTAACGAATCTTGTACTGCCCCCGGTTTTCTTTAATAATAAAGAGGATGCAGAGTGATCTTTCCTAAAGTTCAGTGGCAGGATGTGGGCAGAACTGATGAAGTGGAGGCCGGTGTAGTCTCCAAACAGACAGATCCAAATCTACATGTGACCTACAATGTCTCAGAAATGCATTCTGTTCCCCAAAGTTTCAATTTAGGCTTTCAAAGGGAGGCTGAAATGGCTGGAAGCTTGTCTCCTTTTTGCTTTGCTCACCTATTGCCATTTTTCCCATTGCCAAGATCTTCTACAGGCACTTCATTCCAAGAGTTACTCCTAATCCCAGCCCTCAGGCTCTGCAGACAGGCACTGACTCTCAAAGACTCACAGCTTTTTGCTACGTTTTAGGACACAGCTCCTCAAATTATCCACTGGCTAGAAATCTGAACAAATTAAAGCAGGTCTGTCAGAATTGGTGAATAGTGTCACCAGCAGTATTTTGAGTTGCTGCAGTTGCAGTTTTGGAGCTTAGGCACATGATCAAATTATCATAACTTTTTAACTTAATGAGTTAACACACATCAGCTAAGCTGCAGTAACTGGCTGTGTACATGTCAGGATTTAAAATGATCTCTGGCTAATCGTGCTGCAAACCCCAGTCATCCATCCCACTTTCCCCTCCTTACTCCACTCCCACTGTCATTTCTGGTATCTGAAGTCTTTTGGTTGTCCAGTTCTCTGCCCTGAAATTCTGACTACAAATATCCTTCTATGACAATGCAACTCGTTCCAGGGTGAACTGCCTACTGTAAAGGGTTAATTAATCTCAGAGTGTCTGTGGGTCCAACTGTGTCCTGTCCATGGCAGTCCTTGACTGGTTGTCGCTGCCTCCCAGCTGCTCTACTCAGTGACCTCTGAGTAGAAAGGAGACACCTGTAGGACCCTGTCCACTTTGGCCCTTCACCTCACTCATCTCTCCCTCCGTTCCTGTAATGCTTGAGCTAAGAACATTTTATTGCCCCCTGGTTTTCATTATTAATGAAAAGGGACCAGAATGATCTTTCCTAAAGTTCAGAGAGTCTATAAAGACAAGAAGCTGAAATGCCATTTTACTCGTTTTAGAGATGTGTGAAATAATTCTGTCCTGTAGCAAAAAAAAGTGAGGGGGGTGGAGAGGAAAAGTGAGTGAGGGACGCAGTAAAGGCTGTGCACTGACCACATCAACTTTACAATGCTAGGAAGAATGTCACAGCTCTGCCTAAAATCGACATTCAATCTTCCTTTTTCTCTGTAACACTCTAATATAAAACGTGGGGTGTAGAGAGGGTTTGAAGTTTCTCAATTGTAACCTCAGTGCTCACACTGACTTCTCCGCATATCCTCAATTTCCCCACTTGTAAAACTGGAATAAAATTCAGAGAAAGTGAAAAAGCGCTAACAGCCCAGTTACTCTTCAATTTAGGCACTGGGGAAATAACAAACCATTCTACATAAGAGATCCTCAAAAGGCAAGTGGAAGGGACACAAACTTTTTCTCCAGCTGTAAGTCTGTGTTTTCTGTAAGTATATTTAATTTTCACAGCAGCAACTGTAAATTGTAGTTCCAGAGTAAACATTATTTTCATTCATCTCAGAATTAACTTTCTTGATATCAGTTAATTAGGCCTTGTGCATCCAAGTAAGGTCAGCCTCACTAGTATCCACATTTAAAACTGTAGAAACTGAGGCTGGAAGAGGTGATTTTCCAAGAGCAAACAGTGAACCCATGGAAAGGAGCTGAGTTAAAAAAAAGAGTTTGGATTCTAGTTACCATTTTTAATTGTAAAAGAAAAGAGTCTGTATTCTACAGCCTCCCACATAATGAAGACACAGGGGTGGGAGAAGGAGATCCAAATGGCAAGAAAAACAGTCACTGGAACTGATTTTTAAGAAGGTGTAAAATCTGCACAAAACCCCATAAATGGAGACCATAAATACCATGGGGAAGAACACAGACAATACCTGGATGATAGGCATGCAGCTTTGTACACCTTGCTCAGAAACTCCCTTGAGTTTGCTTGTAATTATAGGGGTTAGAAAGGCAAAAAAACCCCAACCAACCAACAAACCCCAATTAATCATTTAAATATTTAAAGTCAGATTTTTGTCCTCACTGCTGGATTAGTATATTTCATAACGCCAACAGCAGACAGCCCTGGTTTTTTACTGGGGGTTCATTTTAGAGCATGTTTAAACTAGTCAGATTGAGTGATGCTTCCAGCAACTAATCGCATGTCAAATAAAAGATATTTTATGTAATAAATTACTGCTACAAGTAATTCAAATGTCATTTATCAGTTTTATTATCAGTCAGGCAAAGTCTTGTTTCTCTATATTAATCAAATTCAAGCTTTTTTTAAGCTTTTTTTTTAAAGCAGTTTTGACACCTCTTGGCAAAAGTACAAACTGGAAGGAAGGAATTACTCCTCCAGAACAGGAGGAAAAATAGTAGAGATGGTATTGAGCTAAAATACAGTGTCTAGAAACTTAATTCTTCCTCCCAAAAGTTACTATTGTTTCTCTTAAACCAAACACAGGAGGAGTTCAGCATACAAGAACTATGCTGCTCTGAATGCTTACAAATATGCTTCTTCCTCTTCAACTCTTCAAGAATAAGAAAATACTTACACAGGTAACAGCTATTTCCAACAAAACATTGTAACATTAAGTAATACCTACACTAGCAGCTCAGTTTGTACAAAAGGAAGTATTTAAGTGGCATGAATTATTTCCTGCAGCTTTAAAAATCAGAACAGACTGAGTTGACAACAGGAGGAGATCAAGCAAGTAAAATCAAAAGGTGTGCATAGGATTTATTGCTTTGACTCACAAGAGTGGACATCTTACACTGGAGTTGCTGGCAAGATGACCAACTAGGCTGTTTGCTCCATTCCTCCTGAATAAATTCTTTAGATGGTTCAGAAGCCATCCTGAACTTGCAACCCACAGTTTTAATGCAATTTTTAAACACTAAGCAGCAACAGCTTGTGGGGAGGGGGCACACAGAGAAATTAGGTTTCTTAAGACACCAGCTACTGCTTTTCAGCACTGTACCCTCCTCAAGTGTCTCTTCTTTTTGCCCTGTGGAAGGTAACTCTTTCTCTCTAGTTTTGTCATTTTGTGTAAAGGTGTCAAATATACTCAAAAAAAAAAAAACCTTAAAAAGAAGCAAAAATATCAAACACAAAGTGGTTCACAGTCTTCAAGACCTAAAGATCAGAAGTCGCTTCACAAGAAACTCAAGACGTCTTCTTTGGGGAAGGCAAATATAGCTCATAATCTTTTTCAATATAAGCTCTTCCAATATGAGTTGTTCCCAGCAACAAGTCAACTTACAGATTCAGCTGTCTACCTATCTCATTAGTCCTTTAGATATATTTTTTAACTTCAAACCTTAAAGCATTCCAACCCTAGTGTCATGAATGCTCTGTAAGAAGATAAGCATAACAGATAGACAGAAAAAGTAGTATCTATATTTCTCTGTACATGACAACCCCTGACAAATCTATGAAAGATAAATTGACTTAGTAAACTATCACAGAAACAACTGTCCTGGAGCAGATTTGGCCCAATTCAGAAATATTCATTACAGGATTAGCATCCAACTGATGTAATAACCTACAGCAAACAAGGCACCTTGAAAGAGCTTTGAGCCACTGCAGCATCTCATCCATCAGGTCTACAGAAATTCACATATTCTTTGCAGTTTTGATATCATGGAAAGCACTTAACAGGAAGACACAAAGATCGATCCATCATTAACAATACCAGTACTACACCAGTCATGAACTAGAACAGGGCACAGGTGACACCTAATCAAATCGAGTATTTTGGTCAAACAAATACCATGTATGCTTAGCTATTTATTTTTTTTATACATCCATTCAGGGGTTAAGCTTAAATAGAAGGTCTACGAAGAATGGCTAGAGAGCGGAGGAACAATACCTCATGAATCTGTTGTCACCATTTCCCCAATTTTGGGGGTTGCTAAAAAGGACTGGCTCACAGGCAAAAGTTTTTGGTTCAAATTATTTAAAAAGCACCAATCGGATCACCAAGCTAGAGCACCAGTTCACAATTACAACCCCTACAAAAGCTTTACTTTGGTGGTATTTTTATTCACCTCTGGTTTCTGAGCATTACAGAATGATACTGTCAGACTTCTCTATGGAGCTGCTACTGGGAACATTTTGACCTTTAAATATTAGTTAAGATTCTTACCTAGTAAGAAAAAATTGGGAGCTGGTGCTTTGAGGAAAGCCAAAATAGTAAACAGAAAAAAATACCAAACAGTGATGAAGCTGCAAGGGATAACAATGATGACAACGTTTTCCAGTTTGAATTGCATACTTCTTTCCTGCCCTACTCATATTAGTGAAACACTTTAAAATAAGGGAAGATTAACTCTTCCAATATTGGTTTGTGATAAGAGTTAGCTGAATGAGCAATGGATAGCACTAAGAGGGATCTGGCACTGTTTCTTCAGCAAGAGAGCAGATTTTGCTATTCTGGCGTTTTCTGTGGACTACAGCAGACAGGCATTAGCCCAGGAGGCATAACTCAGGCCTGGAGTTCACCAGCACACACAATACAACAGTCAGAATTATTCCAGTTCTGAGCCCAACTCCATCACAAATGTTTTTCTTCCCACACTGTACCAAACCGGAGTATTTAAAAACTCAGAAAGCAAGTCTAGCATTGTCTCTAACAATAGCAAAACTATGCCATGAGCTAATAAACACAGCCCTAAGTGGACTGTTACCTCGGTCAATATCTGACTTAGAGCTGTTTAGGAGCAGTATCAAAATCCTTTTCTTAATACTTGGCAGGTAAGTGAAGTGATTTTCAAACTGCCAGACACACATGTGAGCTGAACAGCTTCTTTTGATGGATTTTTAATGGTGTGTACTTTGGTTTTTATTGTTTGGAGCTTAGATACTTTTTTGCGAGGTTTGTTTTAAAATGCAAATATATATGTAAATTTTGAGTCTACACAGATTATGTTGAGACTAAAAATTCTTTGTGAGTGTATTTTCTACACAAAATCATACAATCACATCCACACAGTCTACACAGAATTTCTGCTGTCACCCCTCAGATTATGTAAGATTGAAGAGAGAAAGCTTTTTAAAATTAAGGATCCATATAACTGTTTATTATTATTTCTAACCTGACAGCACTCTTAAAACTCGTTCATACTGGGGTCCATTGTGCCAGATCTTTAACTCACACACACAGGAAGTCACAGGCTGAGTCCTGAAGACCTTATATTCTAGCTTGCTGATCATGCTGAAAATACACCTCTTTCAAGTAACTGTTCAAGGCATTAACTGTCAGAGTTCAAGGAGCGTCTGGATGACGCTCTTAGTCATATGTTTTAGTTTTACATAGTCCTGCAAGGAGCATGGGAGTTGGACTCCATGATCCTTATAGGTCCCTTCCAACTCGAGATATTCTATGATTCTATGAAATGATCAGTTTCCTGACTAGTTAAGAAAGTAAGTCCTCTAACTAAAACACAAAACTTTGTGATGATGTCCAACAGTTTATTGAACAGAATCCACTGTTGCAATAACTAAAGATGCAATAGTGTTGCACTTTTACAGGACCTTCTATCCAAGAATCTATCAGCTCTATCATATATTAATTATCTAAATATTAGAAAACCCTACTGATGAAGGGAAATGTGACGTTAAGTTTTAGAACAACTACGAAGTGCATTCAAAGTAACACTCGGTGGGAAGGCTGAGTCCCACATTCACTAAATGCTTTTTCAAGTCCTTATAGTGGGTCAGAATCTAATTTGTATTGACTGTACACCTTTAGGTCAAGAAGTTTAGTACATATGATGTTTGTTTGTACACGATGATCATTTGTCTCTCATTTTTCTTGTGTAACATGCTCTTGTCACAGGCATCAACAACCACGAAGTGCATTCAAAGTAACACTCGGTGTCTGATTCTGACAAAAGTATGGCACTAGTTGAATTGAGATCTAGGATCTGGCACAGAAATCTGTGAAAGTGCTGCTGAAATCACTGCAGAAAGCAACAGGACCAGATGTTTTTCAAAGCATTACTTACTATACACCACAGGGTGAGCGGGCTGAGTTGGCACCAGCTGGGTAGAAGGACCTGGGGATTGTGGCTCATCCGTGCTTGTGCCCGACTGCTGGAAAGCCAGGTCAATTTCTTCATCTGTCAGGCCTGGGGGAGCAGAGGAAATGAAATCAGTTTAGCACCTTTACCCACTTGATGCACGCATAATTAAATTCTCAAGCCAGGCAGAACCCTTTCAAGCTGCAAAGAATTTTGGCACTGACTTGAGCAGTAATGCCTCCCCAATTTTGGATTCACTGGAATGTCTCCCTCTCTCTTTCTCTGTTGCAATTTAACCTTAAGCGACAGAATATTAGCCTCAACGCTGCTTCCAAATGTGGCTCATTCAATTTCCTTAATTTATCCTTGAGTTTATTGCTGCTTTTGAAGTAGCTTTCTATTGCAATTCTCCATTCTTCCCCCGAAAAAAAGATACCATCAACTGCAAATGTGGCTCATTTTAATCTGTAATGGTGTAAAAAAAAAAAAGAGGGGAAAAAACTAACAATAATGCATGAAAACAGACAGGGAAACAAAAAACTAATTATTGGGTTAGACGACTAATTAGTCTAGATCGTTTCCGAAGACGGGAATAATTTGCTTTATTTTATGACAAATGCAGAAATAAAAAGAAAAAATCAGGACTGACTGTGATTAGTATGAATGGGACACAGAATGTAAGGAGGAAATAAAACTATAACAAAACAGATCAAAACAAGGCCAAGCCCAAACTTTCAGCTTAGCATTGCCCCGGCCTATTGCTGCGTGATTAGATTGCCCTAGGGCAGCCTGTTTTTTATTTCACGCAGAGCTGTAGTAACACTGCACACATGGTACATGTTGGTGCAGTCACTCCTGCCATCAGGAAATGCCAGGATGACCATCTGTAATTGGCCAAAACATATGGAAAGGATTTGGCCAACAAGGGGGGAAAAAAAAGCAGCTAAAGGATTCACGATGACCAGCATCTGTGAAGAAGGAAGCACAGCTGGATTATTTTTTCCAACAGGAGAAAACATCCTCTAGAAAAAGAATTTAGAACTCAGATGGCAACCATGATGTGGGGCCTGGACAGCTGTGTATTATTTGTTATGTTATCCTCCTGCACAGAAGCAGATAGCCAGTGTCCCTGCTATGAGGAACATGGGAAGTGATTCAGGACCTTTTACTATACATGGGGTGTGTATGCAAAAACATTCAGAAAGGCTGGAAGTGAGAATACAGATTTAAGGAAGGAGATTTAGAAAAGAAGAGAGAGACCACTTGATTCCCAAACAGTTGTTGTAGGGACTGAGCACAGTGAGGAAAATGGTATGAATATGACAGCAGTGGGAGAAAAAAGGGGGAATACCTCCTCTCCATCACCTACACTCAAGATCTATGACGTATTGCTGGTAGATGAAGTTTCTGAACTTAATCCTTTAAAACACTTAGCTTTTTAACATTACAGGGAGATACAACACAGAAAATGGCCAGGCTTCTGGGCATATTACCTAAGTTTCGACAAATTTTTTCACGATCTTAAACTCCACTGCATACTGAGGATCTAGACAGAATAATCTGTAGCACAAACAATATTGCAAGAAATAAATACACAAGCCTGTCCCAGAACTGTTATTTAATATCATAAAGCACTAACACAGTGCTTCTGGTATTCAGAAAGCTTTATAACTATTAACAGATCTTTCCCCTATTCCTGTGAGTATATGAGATACTGTGAGTTCCTGTGAGATACTATTCTATCTACTCTACAGTGCAGATACTGATGTGCAGAGAACTTAGGTGATTTCTATAACAAAACAGAATATTGTCAGTATCAGAAACAGTATCAGAAATCTGAAGTACCTGATCTCCGGTCCTGCAACCTAACAAAATCACCCCTTTATTTGTATTTGATGCGTGCCTCAAATAGTAAGGAACCAAACCCACACATAACAGTATGGAACAAGACTTGCAGTGAGAGTAATAAAAGGCACATGAACACAACTCAGCCTACTGTTCCAGTTACAAAAGCAGTATTTATGGTGTCTAATCCATGTTAAAAAGTGAAGTCCTAATCAGAAAGAAACTCTTTTAACCAGCTCCTGATTATCCAATGCATAAACAGATGCCAACACTGCAAATCACTAGCAACTATGGAATTTCATAAAGATGGAGGCAACATTAGCTGCTGGCTGCAAATGTGGCTCCCACTAGCATAGGGCATTTTGTTCTATTTCCATGCAAAGATAGCAAATCTGACAATATTTAACACTTAGAAATGTACGGAAGTTATGGAGGATCCTTACTTCATTCTACAAAAAGGGCAGAAAACAATGCTTATTGTTTCCTAACCATACTGCCCCTTTTAGTCTCATCCTGTTTAAGAAAAAAACCCAAACAAACCTTTTGCAGACAAAATGCAGTTCTAGGATTATTCTGGTCTTGCCAACTAGGGACACTCAAGTATCACTGTTTCCATTAAAACCCTGCTGTACTGTGAAGAAAAAGCTGATGTGAATGTTAGAATGATGGGAAACCTTTCACATTTGAGTTCCTGGTTTGAAGCCTGTGCAAAGTAGTGCAAATTAAAACTGTTATTACTTCCCTGGACTATTCTGCTGCCTTGTGAAGTGGTCTTGTTCATGGTACTAGTGGCATTATACAAAAGAACATCACAACTAAATCCCTTCTTAATTATCAGAGGAGAAGACTGGGAGTGCCATCACCATGGAACACCTCCTTTTTATTCATCTGAACAAGATGTTTTTAAGGTCCTGTCATCTTGGCCTCCAAGCATCAAGGGAATAATCTCCTGAAGCTGATTCCTTAGGCATATATATGGGCAAGTCTGCACTGCAACTAGTCATTTGTGGATTCAGAAATATACCTGTCTTCACAGGTGTCATTTCTCACACATACTAACAAAAATGTACAAGATACTCTAAGACTGTCCTCAGGAAATTACAATTAACTCATCAAAATTCCCTTTGGACTGACTTTTTTTCAGATTCACCACCTACACACATGTATGAGTTTTCCATGCCCCAAATTATTCAGCCTCGATATATTAATTACAAAGAAAAGTGGGAATTTCTAAACCAGATCATAGTGTCATCTATTCCAATATCTCACCTTGCTTTATTTTCTCACAGTCCCTCTGTCACTGCATTATATAAAAAAGTATCCATGGTCCATTCATTTTTTGACTCTAGCAGGAAGTTGGTAACCCCAAAATAATACAATTTTCCTTGGATGCAAAAGTAGTGCCATGAAAACGGGAGCTTTGTGTCCAATATAACTCTCAAATAGGTATGTCAAGAAAATCAACTCAGTTTAATAGGAGATTTGCTCTAAATCCACTTTCTCAACACTTCGGAAAACAAACATTTTAGTTCTTCTGTTGTTGCAGCAAGATCAAGACCATGCAGAATGCAAAAGGTTAAAAGGAACAATAAAGGAAACTGCCAATTGTAAGTGAATTATATTTGGCTTTGAAAGCTGAGCCACGGCTATATTATAAAAGGCATCTCTTTGCGTTGTTTACCATCACCCTGACTAATGCAGACCTTTTTTTTTGTTTTAAATAATCTCATGCAAATTAGACACACACTTCCTTCCAGTTGATTGCTATCTGCAAGGAATAATCTAACCGCAGAGGGTACTGAGCAAGGACTGAGCTGAGGAGAAGGATGCAAGGAAACTGTCTTCACAGCCCTACAGAATGCAAACCTATTCCCTTCCCCCAACCATCCGTTTCATTTCTCTGGAGCACCACAGCCATTGCAAAGAATTAGTCATAATTTTCACAAAGCCTTAAAATTTCCTTTTCAGGCTTCAGGGTGTTGATTTGAATAATCCAGCACCCACAATCGTTTTGCACTCAAAGGTTCTTGCTGACCCCCTTTTGTGACTGTCGCTGCTGCCACTCAATTTTCAGGGATCACTCAGCCTCTGTAAATTGTAGTCAAACACAGAATCAGAGCAAATCACAGAATAAAATGGGTTGTCACAAACATCTCTCAGTGCCTGCACCTCAGGTATTGTATAAAAAGCTCTTTTGCCCGAGAACTTTTAAGACTTGACTGTCTGTTTAGGCCCTTTTACAGTATCTACTACTATTTAAGATAAGGACCTCACATACATCAAAATACTGTTCCTCTTAAGACCACTCTGAAGTACAGGAGTACTTAGAGGAGTACTGTTACCCATATTTTACAGATGAAGAAGTCAGACATACAGATACGAGAAGTGCTCCAAGGTCAGAACCAAACCTCTGACAGTCAGAAAATAAAACTCATGAGATGTGAGTCCCAACCCATTGTTTTACCATAAATCCATTCTTCTCTATCTTCTGGATGAAAGACAGCAGCAATAATTGCAATGCAAAACCCTTGCATGAACTTAACTAGATGAGCCACTAAGTTTTTTCTTCTTCTCTGACACAGGCTCTGACATTTTAGTGACAACTCTTTTTCCCATCCCCTCCACTGAGCATATCTTTTTCTTCATTATATTCCTTTTTGCATTGCTTCATCCAGCAGCTCATGCAAGATTTTCACAACCCGAAGGCAACATTAGTTTCAGGAAGAAAATTTTAGTTAGGAAGAAATTAAGAATCCTACCATAACAGGGAAAGGTGGTGGAAAGAATTAAGTTCCTTCTCTGGGTTTCCAGAGCCAGCTTTATTACCATTCTGACAGACCACCCTGGAGCAATCATCACACCTACCCTCTTGCAGGGACAAAAGGCAGGGGAGGGGTATCTGTTGTTGCCCTCACACATGCACACACTTTCTATTAAGAAGAAAACAAACTAGAAGCGGACAACTTGTTTAGTTACAACAAACTATATGACTATCCAAACTTAGTGCATGGTATCATATGACTAAAAGGAAGATCTACTGGTAGACACCCTGAAATGACATTACACTCCTGTTCCTGGAAGCCACTGAGTCAACTCTGCTCAGAAAGAACATGGCCACATTTTAAAAGAATCATCATAAAAACCTTCTGGGATCTGATCCAGACTAATGATTCCACCTGTTCAGTCAGTTACATGCAGTGCTGGGCAATTCTTGTATCAAATGTTTGTCCTATATCCTACTCTGTGCTTGGTTGAACACATTT